GGTGCTTGTTAAGTCGGGCGAAGGCGCGCAGGCGGCATTACGTAGTAAAGGTTAGGTACGTATTATTTGTGCAGCGGTCCAGAGACGATATAAGGCAATTAGCGGAAACCGCCCCCAAGATACCTTGGTGGGCGACAGGGGGCTGTTAGTCGTCAGCCGCATCCGACTAGCGGTGCATGGTTGCGGCGCAAAGTGGGAAAACCGTGGTAAATGGCGTGCACTCACGTGGTGCACGGGCCCACAGAAGGTCTGTGGGCGACAACGATTTGCAAGAACTGGACGTTGCGTGCGGGACATCAAGAACAGATGAAGGGAAGCACATCTATTCACGGAATATTCGATTGCGATGTACGACATGCCAATAGATGCAATGCCGACATTCCGGGACCCTCCCCTAATTATTTGTTCATTTACGGATTTATCTATTTAGGTAACTCCAGTAAGCTCGATTGTTTGTGTGCACCTGTGATAATGAATGGGGCGTGCAGCGGAAATGCGCTTTTCCACTGGGCATGCATGCAATCCGCCATCTTGGTTGTGAAGTTGATACAGCGCGGTCAAATCGTGAGTGCTATGGAGTGCACAGGCAAACTTGTTGATGATCGATCATGTTCTAGCAGGAGTAATGCTGTTTCTTTTCATGCATGTGGCGTGTCTGTCGATTTACACAGCCAATGCTGCATCGACATGCATTTATATCCTCATAGAAAGAATCCGCTGCTATTTCGGTGCCGCATGTATGAAACATTGTATCTCAATGATGTCATCTCAGAGGTGATGCGAATATTTCCCAGTTATTTAGGCGATATGATCAGGTAGGTGTAAGGCAACAATAGGCTTTACTCACTGCGTCAGTTAACATGATGTTTAATGGCATAAGGTTTTGATCATCCTCCGGTTGCCTATCCCTGATATTAACTTTGCCTTGTGTTAGACCCATGGTAAGGATTACGTCAGCGATGTCGCCATTCCTTGTCGAGGATCGAACCAATTCAACCAAACCTTAGAGCAAAAGATAGCGAAACATACAAGCAGCGCATATGGTGAAGCGCAAGTGCTCCAATACATTTCTCGCATATCGATGTTGTCTCCAACAAAGTAATGGTAGCCTATGCGCACCGACATATAATCACATATGTCACTCGGCTGTATAATATTGATGATGCTGATGTGCGGCGCATCGTACGCAAATCCGGTATGGAGGTTCCAATCAATTATCCATGCTGCAATCACTGGGGAAACAGCGACATTTTCTGGGTCCCTTTCACTTACAGATGATAAATGCCTACTGTCATCAACAGAACTCATGCAACCCGATCCCCTGCCAGCGGGACGGCCACTTGAGCAGCGGTTATATTTTACAAAATGGTCTAGGAACTCATGCGTATGGTCGTTGGACACCGAATCAGTAGTCATAATAATCTGAAGCATGGAGAGACATATGCTATGGCGAAGGAACTGCATTATTGGTATGTGTGTGTGAGGCAATCAGAAACCTTACACGACTTTCGTGCGGATGCGATCAACCTGAGATTTGTTCACATATGCAAACTTTAAATCCGTTAGAGCTGCAGAGTCAGGCTGCTGTGATCTTTCAGCCAGGCGTAGACTCATGTGAATAGGCTACGTGCGTAAGGGTGATGCAGTCGCCGCATTGTGCACCGAGGGCAAGTTCCCTGACAGATAACAACATCATTGGGACTCTAGACATTGTTCTAGCTAGCATGATTCCCAGTGTGACCATGGCATGACACTATTGCGTAGTCATTCGTCTCCACTTATTTCGTGTACATTTGGTAAACAATTACCGGTCCAGTGCCCATAGATCCACTGTTAGTTAATGGTTGTAGGAAGGACGCGTGTGTGCGTAAGATGTCATCACGACAAAGCGGACCCTATGTTTTTGTGGGATCTTGAGGCTTTACCTCAGGCTTATAAGTTTTTAACTACGACCTAAGACTACGACCCGTAAGTGACCCTCCACCAAGCACTGTAAAGGATTGTAACATGCGTTGTGGAGCCATTTTCATCGCCCAACGAGGCTTCAGGATCTTGCTGCTTTCTGATGACAACATGTTTCGGCGTAGCTTGCACGTCGGCAGCAATGTATGTCACTGTGGGCAAAATGCCTGCTTTTTTTGGCTGCTTGTAATAGCTGTCTAAATCTGAGTTAGCGTGCGCGGACCCCGCTGTAAATTATTCACAACAAGCTGCAGGAAGGTCGGTAGATGAGAAAATAGTGTTTGGCTAGTCTCAATATTTATCCGAATTACCCGATTGAACTTCGTGCGCCGCCACCATTTATCGGCCCTGGCGTTTCGGCTTCGGTGACGCTGTGGCATTTAGAAATAAGGCCGTTTTTGTAGCAATTTGATGTGGTTCGTTGTTGGGCGATGTGATTGCCGAAGCCTTGAGGCTAGTCGTCGGGTCACTGGATGTAATGTAGGTTCCAGCTGCTTTCATAATCATTCGAATGGTCCCATATCGAGAGCCGCTTGTTACTTTCATACTGGTGTGGATCGCCGGCCTGGAGTACCTGTGGCCGATTCATGCGTTGATATTTTATTCCATTAGGGGACAAATGGGCTCGGCTCCGCCAGACTTCCCTTTGAATGGGCGTGTGGTTTATCACCACGTGCAGTGCTTGGACCGTAGGAGTTTTTGTAATACGGTCACGACTTTTAACAAATTCCGTCGCGGTCACAGCGTCCTTGAACTGAAGGAGCAGGAGACAACTGCGGTGCTAGCCATGTGAGCGTAAGAAGTCAGTTTTATTCTTCTTTGCTTCAGCTCATCCTGAATGCAACGAAAATGAGCAGACATGTGGGGTATAGGGTCAGCTTACTTCCACCACACGCTGCAGTGTAAGAGCTGCTCTTGCTTCTCATTCCCCAAAGAAATTTCCCGATTTTCTTTGTCGTTGTCTTTTATACTCGTCACCTTACCATGTCCATTTTTGGCCTATGCCCACTGTCCTCTGCCGAATTTCTCTTTTTAGATAATCGGTCACCTTTCCTCCGTTGCATCTCGCTGGAGTAGCTACTGACAAATACGGCTGCTCCGTTCGGCGCGTATCGAATGCCCAATTGCCGCGAACCCGTCCCTACGTTTTTTATCCTTCTATCCTAGGCGTGTTTTGTCACACTGCAAAGCGCTGCTCCTTCCGTACGCTTGTATCTGTCCTCAGAATGCAGCTTGTTGAACTATGCTGTCAGCGGTTGTCTACGCTGCTGCCTCTGATTGATTCCCTCGAAGGTATACCAGAACACCTTGGACAGACTGTCTTCGCCCTCATCGGTTCCGAGTATACTCGAGCAAACTTCAATTGTCAATCGGATTCAACCTTCAAGATTTTCGAGCAGGCTTATGGCCACTCTTTTATTCGTGCCTTGAGGCTGCATACACATTTTATTCACTTACTTTCCATGCTCACTTTGAGCGTTTACTTACAGTATCTTTATTTGGATTCCTGTGAATTGGGCTCAAAGTACGCTCGTTTTTTGCCCGTTATTGGACAGATGAAACAATTAACGGTGCTTAGTCTGCGTCACAACAGTCTATGCCGGGATCATGTGCGTACTTTGACGGCATCCAGCCGTTTTTCTCGGTCATCGAATTTGCAATGCCTCGATTTATCCGGTTGGTGCCTCTCTCACTCTTAGCTTACCTACTACTTCAAGGAAATGGTTATCTCGGTGAGAATTGCCTCTCGTTTGCCTTACAACTCACCAGTTTGCGCGAATTGCACTGCAGTGACACGGGGATTGCGGTAGGTTCTCTCTTGTGTTGTCTTACCATCGCCCACTTTTGCGTTACAGATCTCTCCAACTCCACGTCTCCCGTCCAACTGGAGCAGCGTACGAAAACATCTGTGCTCTTTCTCAAACTCAGTCGAGTCCGGGTGGTTCAGCCGGATGGTGTTACAGAAGCGGACAGCTAGCCCCATTGAAGAGCATTTCGAGGATTCCTTAACTTTGTGTCGAGATTCATGATCTCGTCACTGATGTAAACAGTCTCTGTAAATATACTTTGTTCTGCACCATGTTCATCCGTCTCAACCCAGCTGCTCACCAGTCTTGTTAGTGACGATGTCTCTGTCTTTTAAAATGCGCTCCATAGTCCGTCGAATTTGAGTTCGTTTTGTCCGCTATTCTTTTTCGCGTATTGCTTGCATTTGTTCCTTGTGTGATCCCACTGTTTGGTATACCTAGACAGTCAGACAGCCCTCACACGCCCAGTAATGCACTGCAGGGCCTCTGCGGGTTGGAACCCCACAAGTGTCAGATGGAACGCGCACTGCTGACGAGTCCCGAAAGGACGAAATGACCGTACAGTGCTTTTCCAGGCGTGTGATAGCTGTCCGAGTGAGTTGTCTCAGAAGAGATATCTTTAAACAGTCGGAAGTAATATCATCTGGTTTGACAGCATTTATTATTAAACCACGTTTGCGACTGACGTTTGGAGCTTGTGTACTACAAGCTTACAAGTTCCACGCAACGCATGCCCTCTGTTTTATCTAACGGATTTTCGGTTACCAGGGAGTAGGGGGAACTGAATGGTACAGGTGGTTTCAACCACAGACTGGCAATAGTGAATTTGCGGGTTCGAGCGCTATAGGGATCAGATGGAATGCGCACTGCTGACGATTCTCGAGAGAATGAAATAGCTGAACAAAGTACTTTTCCGGGTGTGTGATGGCTGTCTGACGGAGTCTAGATGTGATGAATTTCTACCTTCACCATTCAACTCAAGCTACAAATCTTCTGTAACTTCGAAATGCACTGACATTAATTGTGCTGTTGTTTCTGAGACCTCACTTGTGTTTGTGGTTTCGGAACGCGTTGATTGCATTAGGTAATCCGCTCCAATGGACTCTCGCGAGTTGCTATCCAAATGCGACATGATTGGAAACCTCGCTACAGCTCACGTATAGCGCAGCGTCTTTTCACCGCTTTGACGAATATGCGCATTGGCAATGGCCGTCGAGGACTAGGTCTGTCATCAGCTCTTATCTCACATTACAATTATTTTGAAAGAGCAGTCGAATCGCCCGCCAGGGTCAAAATACAATCATGAAGAATTACGCCCGCGTAACTCATTGAACTATACTGACTGGTGCCTCCGGGCACCTTGGGAACTACTCCTACCAGATTGGTCAGTGGTGAGAGGTCAGACAAACTCAGTATCCTGGTCCTCTAGATTGGGCATTTGGAATGAGATAAATAATTAATAAATTGTATGTTCCTCGCGGGTTGTTACCTAAAAGGAGCAGATCAAATAATGGTACAAGCTTTCCAGGACATCGCACTAATACCTTTTCAAAGATAAACCTGGGCACTATTGCAAATTAGATAACACAGAGTAATCAGAAACGTTCTGCTAGTTTCTTCCTGCCATTGAATAAGGATTCTTCACAATCACATGACAGATATTTGGGCCGAGAAAAAAAGTCATGAAAGGGGCTGCTGTCCGAAATGTTATGTGTATGTGTTTCGGATATTTATTCAGGCACAATGGATACCGTGTTCGAATGCGCTATCTATGGACTGTGATGTCCCGAACATTTCAATCACATTTTGGACGGTTAAATGCTTACTAATCGCAAGCTTAAAATTGCAAGGTGTATAGCATGTTCTGATATCACTTGGAAGTTTTTTTCCAAATCCTTGAGTATTGGATTAGAAAGAAACGTTCTCCGATTCTCGTAGTAAATTTTGAAATCATGATCTTTACCTCTTTGTTACATACTGGATATCTGCTGTTTAAAGATATATGAACACCGTTTTCAAGACTGCGAATTTGACAATTTATGATTCTGTAAAGAAAGGATAGGTTCAGCTTCATTATACCAAGCCAACCAGGGTCAAATACAAGTTTATCACATCGCTCTCTGTATGTCAACTTTGAGGAATATCCACATAGCTTTTTCGTGTAGCGTCTCTGGACCCTCTCAAGAGCGTGCTGGTCAGGTTTCCGCAAATTAATCTGTACCATTAAACAGTATTGCATAGACGGCAATACATATGTTTTGTAAAGCGATATGCGAGATTCCGTGAGGTAAAAATGATGACAGATAAAACCGATGGTATTCGTGGCTCTCGGAACTTGAAAGTCACAGTGTTCAGAAAAGGTAAACGTGACTGAATATCGCACGCCCAAGTCGCTAACTGCCCTGCATTGCGAGATATATGCGCCTTGTAGTAATAAACTGTCTGGCGGTACTTGGCATTTGTACGACCAAATATTACACTTGTCCACGGCAAATGATATCTGCCACAGTTGTCACCAGGAGTCAAGGGCAGATAGGTCGTCCTGAATGAGACGTAGGGTTTCCTGGGTATTTGCACGTGGTTGTGAGTAGGCAACTTTGATGTCATCAGCAAAAATAAATGCAACGCCATTTCTTATTCTCTGAAATATATCGTTAAAATAAATAAGAAAAAGAACGGGACCAAGTACACCCTTGACTCACTCCACTAGTGATTGCTTTCGGTTCAGAGAAATGGTCGCCTGTGCGCACCACCTGCTGTCTGCCAATTAGACATGAAGACAGCCAAGAGAACATCGGTTCTCCAATGACTATAGCCTTCAGTTTGTTTAGTAACCTGTGAGGTACTCTATCAAATGCTTTTTGCATATCCGGGAACTGGATTACGACACTGTTTCCGTTGTCAGTGGTAGCCATTGTGTGGTTTAAAATGTCTGTCTGGCATGTTGCGCAGGATCGACTTTGCATGAAGCCGTGTTGCAAATTGCTGATAATGTTAGCCTTGTTCAAGAATATAAATAGTTCATCTTTCACTATCCTTTCCATTATTCTAGATACGATGGGTGTGTGATTGATGGGATGAAAGTTTTTAACCTCGTGGGCAGCGCCATTTTTGTGTCGCGGGATAACGACAGCAGTTTTCCATTTAGTCGGGTATACTTTGTTGTTAAAAGAGAGTGTAAACATGTTGTGCAAAAGCAGAAGGAAGTCACTACCACTGCTTTTTATTAAACAAAGGGGATCCCATCAGGGCCTGCACACGTTGAGGAGTATAAGCGAGCGACTTGACCAGTGATTTTCTCTATAGTGAATTCCACTGTGCATAGACCTTCATTATTGTGCGGCATGATAAGTGTTGATGCGTCTGATGATTCATTGAGCAGTAATTCGACAAAATAAGCACTGAAAGCTTCGCAGATATCACCTGGTGCATCGTAGTATGTTCCATCAGGCGTGGTGATAAAATTGAGATTGTCACTGCAACGCGAACCCCGGGCACGGAATAGTTTGGCTAGCTCAGCTGTTTTGCTAGGGCCATTCAGAGCTTTATACTCTTCTAGAATGAGAGTTTTGTCACGTTGATGCCTCTGTTCTTCCACGAGCTTCGACTGCTGTAATAATAGCGCAAAGTCAGCAGTTAACCTGAATTTCTGCCGAATCTTATGAAGCTTTCGTGCTGCCTTCAACGCCTTGCGATCGGATTTATGTTTGGTTTGGTAAGCACATTTTAGTGGTACTGCTGAATGGATGCAGAAGCCAATTATACTATAAAACAGGTCCGTCGCATGTTGAGGACATAAAGAGAGGAAGAATTTATCCCAATTCATCGAACGAACCAGGTCCTTGAATGAGTCCCATTTGACAGAACTGAACAGAAGATAATGCTTTGTTTGCTGTACCTCGGCCATGCGTAGTCTTAGGCGGTATTTGGACACGCGATGATCGCTCCCCGGGAATTCATCAAGAACGTTAACACTGATTGCAAGTATGCCGAATGAAAAAATGAGATCTAGAGTACTTTCACCTCTGGTAGGTTGGGAGACTTGTTACTGCCAAGCATTCATTTGGATACAGGAGATAAGAGTTTGGAATTTCAAAGGAACGGTTCCTATGGGCCATGAAATCGAAGGCAAATTGAAATCATCTCCAATAATCTTATGTAAAAATGGTAGGCTAGCGGCGCATTCAAATGCAAGCGTCGAAAGTTTTAGGTCTTCTTGGCTGCAGTTTGGCGCGCTGTATATACATCCCAAAAGCAGCTGCTGCTGATTAACAGATAACGTAAGCCAGTGTGATTCCTGAACATGGTTCACTACTGGGTTACCGAACGTTGCTGCTGCGAGCAATTTTTCAGATAAATTACCCAGCCACCATCTGGACGACAAGGCCGATTCCTCATAAACTTGTTATATCCGAAAATAGTTAACTGAGTGTCAGACATGCCATCATGGCATAATATGTCAGGATTATTCACCAAAACAAATGAGCGTAGTGTGTGGATCTTAGAGTGAAGAGAACGAACTTTTATCCAAAATACTGAGATAGATGTGAGATATGAGGAAGATTGTTTAGGTTGTGTTATAAACACGGGTTTCAAGCCGTGTGTCTGAACCCAGGTTAGAAGTTGTTGAAAAAGTGCGCGGATTGCCAACGGTGGGAAATGATTTGGAGGTGGCCACAGAGGAGGGGGTTGAGACTGAGTATGGCCTTCTAGAAAATGGTTCGAGGGAAAAAGTCCATGATTACTATAATAGCCTGTGGGAGCTGGAGAGTTAGGTTGTATCCTCTGCATCATGTCGTTAATAGGCTGTTGATTATGTAACGCATTGATAGGAGTCAGTGGGTTGCTGTTATTTCCATCCATGGGTAAAATACGATTAATTGCGCTCAATACCCAAGGACTCACTATACGCGGTGGAGGCACACTGGTGTCAATCTATACACCAACATCAGCATATCCATCTGGTTCCTTGATGGATTCGGAAAGTCATGATACCTAATTACACCGTGTGTGAGGTGCAAACATGGCGGCACGTCTTCCATAACTTTATGACCAATGGATGTACGTCTATCCAAACAAAATGACGATACAGAGTCGCCCAATGATGCGATAAATCTAGGTCAACCGTCCTTTTACTATCGATCAATTTGACCGGATCCATCGAGATTCTCGATGAGCTTGGACACTGGCCAGAGCAGACTTTAGGCGGGACATGACACTTCGAGGCTTGAGGTAGCTATTTTGCATGCAACTGGGATTTAGCAGGTAATGCAGTTGTTATTCGCTGATCCCCATTGTTGTCACTTCGCATACAGGAAAGAGTATTAGGAAACCCTATGACTGCCAAAA